CCAGCTGAATGTAGCTGCATTGTCGTATTTGGCGCTTTAAGCTCAGTTTTAAGGAACTTACCAATGTAACCCCCTTGATCATGTTTTGCACGTGGCTGCAAATCGTGCGCACGGTTGCCAGCTCCTTTCTGTTACCCCACCATTTGTCAACACGCAGCTAAAAGGTTGAAAAAAACAGAAAAATTCATTGCAATTCCAGTATGTAAGTAAGTACAGTCTTTCTTCCCCCCTGAAAACGTTTACAATTCTGGAACATTTCACTACATTGGCAATTTTCTAGGCAATTTGCAACTATTTGTACATTTCTAATGAGCCAAGGTATTGTAACACTAAATTGTAATTACATTGTTAATTAATTTATAGATGAGAGCCCACACAAAGAATCAAACTTGACTCAATGGTAGCTAACAAAACTATTTGATTAATGAAGAAAAGGACGAGGGGGGGGGACATGATAGCAGTGTTCCATATCTCAGGGGCTGCCCCAAAGAAGAGGGAGTCAAACTATTCTCCAAAGCGCCTGAAGGCAGGACAAGAAGCAACAGATGGAAACTAATCAAGGAGAGAAGCAACCTGGAATTAAGGAGAAACTTCCTGACAGTTAGAACAATTAACCAGTGGAACAACCTGCCTCCAGAAGTTGTGAATGCCCCAACACTGGAAGTTTTTAAGAAGAGACTGACAGCCATTTGTCTGAAATGGTATAGGGTTTCCTGCCTGAGCAGGGGGTTGGACTAGATGACCTCCAAGGTCCTTTCCAACTTTATTATTATTACATAATGCATCTTTATTCCAATTTCAACCAAATGCTGTTTCCCGGGGTTATTTCCGCTACTTAAAAGAAAAATCAGGGGTGGACTCAACTTACGAAGAAAGATAAAACAATGCAGAAGTAAAAGGGAATAGACAGAGATCTCCTAAGACGGTGGTTCTCAACCTGTGGGTCGGGACCCCATTTGGGTTCGAACGACCATTTCACGGGGGTCGCCAAACAATGCAGTCCGCCATTTTTTCCCCCTTTTCCTTAGCTGTGCTCCTCCCTTTTATTCTATTGGCTTTTGAAAGCCCATAGAATAGACTCTCTTGAATAGAGTCTAATTCTATTGGCTTTCCAAAGCCAATAGGAATGGTCCAGGCTGTCTCGGCCCTGCTGAGCCCGCCAAAAGTCCCAGTCTGCAAACGGTGCTGCACCAGTTGAGTAGTCCTCGACTTACGACCGGTTGAGTAGTCCTCGACTTACGACTGGTTGGGGGTCGCGGCATTAAAAAGGTTGAGAACCACTGTCCTAAGACGTAAACTTTTGTTGGTGACTGAACTGTGACAAGACGCTGCAACGGATCAAATTCTGATCGGTGATCTAGACCCGAGTGGTTCCCTACGATCCATATCCCCAGCAAGCCACAGAGCAGAACATTCCCACAACGAGTCAGTTTGATCCACACCCGAGGACATGTTTGTCAACAAAAAGATTCCCAGCTGCAGAACACCTGTCACACTCTACTCACACAAAAAACGGGACCATTTCACTACACCAAAGACCGCTTCACAAAACGCAACACTTCTTTATCCAAAGCGCGCACGAGAACAAGAATATGGCTGCACAGCGAACAAATAACTGTGCAATGTGTAGATCAGTCCAACCCGTTGTCTTGACGGCAACTATTTCTGACATCACAATGACTTGTCGAGCTACGGCAACCGTAGCAGCTGCTTCCAACGATTTGCCAATGTCATTTTTTACATACTCAAGTTCAATATATTGTCAGTATCACAGGGACACCGAAGAAGGAATAATGTTCAGGAATTATTTGTCGTATGCTAAGAACAGGGGGTCTTCAAATGTGGCCCTTGGATGACTTGTGGACTGCAACTCCCAGAATTCCTCAGCCAGGCACACGTGCCTGGCTGAGGAATTCTGGGAGTTGCAGTCCACAAGTCATCCAAGGGCCACATTTGAAGACCCCTGGCTAAGGAGGTTAATTTCATATATACCATTTCCATATCCACTCAAAGTTTCACTAAATTGTGTCAGGAGCTGTTTCTACTTCAGGTTTCAGCAATCAATCCTCCAACGCTAAATCTGATCGATATTTGGGCTAGGATGGGTCAAACAAACAGCATGAAGGATGAAGATCAATATTTTCAAAAACCTTAAGAGGTGTATGTTACAGGTAGTCCTCAACTTACAACAGTTCTTTTAATGACTGTTCAAAGTACAACAACACTGGAAAAGGTGGCTTGGAACCATTTTTCACACCTACACCCGCCGCAGCATCCCTCTGATCAAAATTCAAATGCTTGGCAATGATGGTTGCGGTGCGTGCCAGGGTCACATGATCACAGATTCACTTTACAACCGTGTTACTAACTTAACTGCGATTCGCTTAACCAACGGTGGCAAGGAACTTCGTAAAACGGGGCAAAACTCGCTTAACGAATGCCCCCGCTTAGCCACAGAAATTGTGGTCGTTAAGTCAAGGGCTACTTGGACAAATATCAGTGCACTCAGACCGGAACACAAGTCCACGAAAAACGCAGAAGTATTACGCAAAACAAAATAAACAGCAAGCACGAAACTACCTGGCATTTGAGACACAACGAAAGCTACCTTGGGTCTTCACAATGACGACAGCGGCGCAGGGATTCGCAGGGATTTTTAAACACCGCAACTTAACCGCGCAGCAGGTTAAGTGTGGAATCTCTTGACATTTTTGCTCGCTGCCTTTCAAGCTGACATCTCCAAATATCAGAGTCTAGCCCAGTGGTTCTCAACCTGTGGATCGGGACCCCATTTGGGGTCAAACGACCATTTCACGGGGGTCGCCAAACAACGCAGTCCGCCATTTCCCCCCCTTTTCCTTAGCTGTGCTACTCCCTTTTGTTCTATTGGCTTTTGAAAGCCAATAGAATAGACTCTCTTGAATAGAGTCTAATTCTATTGGCTTTCCAAAGCCAATAGGAATTGTCCAGGCTGTCTCTGCCCTGCTGAGCCCGCCCAAAGTCCCATTCTGCAAACGGTGCTGCACCAGTTGAGTAGTCCTCGACTCACGCCCGGTTGAGAGGTCCTCGACTTACGACCGGTTGGGGGTCGCAGCATTAAAAAGGTTGAGAACCACTGGTCTAGCCATTCATAAATTATGAATTAGTGTAAGGGGTGATAGGAAATCTGGAAACCTGACACAACAGCGATGTGTTTCACGCCAGCCAAAGCATGAACGTTCAATACCTCCTCACCTTCTTGCGTTTTTTGCCCAAAAGGGAGAGTTCCACATTGATATGGTTGAAGTCCCTTTTCAAAGTTCCTCTGGGGCCTTTGACAGTAACTGTCCTCCCCTTCAGGATAATGTCGACTGGAAAAAAAGAAAAAAAAAAAACTACTTTCAATAAAACATTTAGACATCACAAATACTCAAATGAGTCGTATACGTATTTTTTTTTTCCTTTAAGAAAAGAGTTTTAGGAGAGTCACGAATTACATTCTTACCTTTCTCAGGGATGTCGACTGTTTGGTTACTAAGAATAGTCTTCATTTTTAATCTAGTAAAATTAAAAAAAGACAAAATGGAAAGTTAAGGAAGAGAATTCCCTTGTTTGTTAAAAAACAAAACAAAACTTCATCATTTAAAACACGGCACTTTGCAAAACTGCTGTTCAAAAACAAATTTCAAAGCCAAATTGCACTGCTGCACAATAGGTCTTTAATATCTTTTATTTTGGTTCCATTTTTATACAATTGTCCTACCAGCTACGTTTTCCTGGACCACCAATTCCAAAGATGATCTACAATTTTAAGCTCCACCCAAGTGTTTAAGCCCCTGCTGTTTTCCTAGATCTCCCTGTTATTAAAAGGAAAAATGGTAATATTGAATGGCTAGGAAAAAACACCCTCTTTACGATTTTAATAAAATGGGGTTTTACACATCCCTATAAAGCACACTTCAGTTAGTAAAGCTGTCTTAATAACAAACATCCAATATGTTCTTTAATTTTTGTACAGCAACTATAATTCCTTCATTGGATGAAACAACTGTGATTAAAGGCAGAGAGAGGAGAATGGTGGAAAAAAAAAGCTTTTGGACGTTGTGGGTCAATAAAATAACATGTAATTGTTCCAATGTTGTCATTCATTGCTCTTAAGGATCTCTAATGAATTAGGATTAAAATAATGAAGAGTTGGAAGGGATCCTGTAGGTCATCTAGTCCAACCCCTCCGACCAAGCACACATTCATGCACATACTTATGATCAGCCAGCTGGGGAATTCTGGGAATTGAAGTCCACAAGTCTTAAAAGTTGCCAAGGTTGGACACTCCTGCGCTACACCAATGCTCGCCTAGTATTTAGCCTATATTACAGCAACACTAAAGGGAAGGCGTCATTTGCTTAGGGTTATAAACAGGCAACAACATACAACAGCTTCGGACTCTTCTTTTCAGTGTTTCTCAACTTTGACAATTTTAAGGCATGTGGACTTCAATTCCCAGAATTCCACAGCCAGCAATGCTGGCTGTGGAATTCTGGGAGTTGAAGTCCACATGCCTTAAAATTGTCAAGGTTGAGAAACACTGCCCTAAATCATGGCCATTAAGTCACCCAGGCTGATTCAGCAGGTCGCGCAGGCGCAGATGAGGGGCAGGCGCGCGCGTCCCTCTCCAGTCCACCGGTGCGCGAATGGGGGGGGGAGGATTACTTCTGGGGGTCCCCCTCCGAAACCGCGCGGACCCCAACCCGAAAAAGTATCTCCGTTCCTAAGGCGGATCCCGTTCGGGCCTGGCCCGGAGCGTTAGAAGTACCCGGCGGGACCGACTTCGCGGATGGAGCCGGATTCGCCTTGCCTGGCTCCGGCGGCGAAAAAGCAAACCGGCCCTGCTCACCTTTCGCGTTGATAGGAAAGAGGAAAGGAAATGCGTCGTACGTCATCACGCTTTTAAAAGGCGCGTCGCGTCCTGATGACGGCACGCGGAGCTCGAGGGAGGGGGGGTCGAAGACTCGAACGCAGGCGCGATCAGTCGAGCGCCGGGCGGAAAAGGGAAACGTAGCCGAGCGCCGAGGTGGCCCATCGAGGGACTTCGGCCCGGAGACGGTGGGGCAGCGGCCGGGCGGAGAGGAGACCCGCCATGTCGCTGCTCGGTCGCGGACTCCCCTGCCTTGCCCTCGCCCCGAGGAGGCTGGTGGCTGGTGGCAAACCGGTGAGAGGCCGCTTTGTTTGTCTCCTTTCCCCCATTTCGCGGCTGCTGCCCCGGTAACCTTGGCCGCACAACGTCCCTGCGAGGTAGGAAGGGCCGTCCGGTGGCCCTTGGTGGAAAGCCGGCAGCGAGGAGGCGATCTGGGCTGATCTGGAAAGCGCAACGGGATCTAATCTGGGTTTCAGGTGGATGGAGCGCCACCAGGAGATCCCAGGGCAGGAAAAATCCAAAACATGCATTGGCAAACCTAAAGATGGGTCAGGTCCATGGAGATCCAGGCTGTGGAGGTCACCAGGGTTGGTGGGATTCCCTTCTGGTTGGAAGGGATTGTGGAGGAGGTGCCAGTCCAGGTAGTCTTTGACGACAACCGTTCGTTTAGTGACCGTTTACATTTACAAACAGTACTGAAAAAAACTGACTTGGGATCCTTTTTCAAACTTACGACCGTTGCAAGGACGAGGACTATCTTGTAACCCCAGTATACCCTTCTTCTCAACTGGGTAGGTAGGTAGGCGTGCTCAGTGGCTTATTGGTGGCTTAATTTGATTTATCAGCCATGGAGGGTTGGTTTTATTTAAACCATGGTTTACAAACTTTGGCTCAGCATGCTTTGTAAACACAGCCTCTGCAGGTAATCCTCCCTTTATGACCACGACTGAGCCTAAAGTGGCCCTTGCTAAGCAAGACAGCTGTTAACTGAGCTTTGCCCCATTTTATGACCTTTCCTGCCACGGTCGTTAAGTGAGTAACATGAGTCTCGCTTCCCCATTGGCTTGGCTTCACCAAAGGGGATCACATGACCCCCCCAGGACGCTGCAACAGTCATAAATACAAATCGGGGGACACTGCGACCGTCATAAATGTGAGTCAGTTGCCAAGCGTGCAAGTTCTGATCACGTGACCACAGGGATGCTGCAACCGTCATAAGTGTGAACCAGTCTCATGAGGATGCTCCAAAGGTCGTTAACTGTGAGAAACGGCCACAAGTCACTTTTTTTTTCATTTCGAACAGCCACTGAACGAACTGTTGTAAATTGAGGACTACACATACTTCACCGACACGCTGCTAGGGACAAAAAAAGAAGTATTTCGGTATGACTAGGAACGTGATCAATTCTAATTATTTGAGTGAAGCTTTTAAAGCTTTTCTTCTTAAAGCTACAGTATGGTTTTTAAAAGTGCTGTATCACCTTTGCGAAGGGATGACATTTGTTTTTTCCCCCACCAGGTGTTTGGAAACTGTTGGCATCACCAGCTGAGAATGTCGAGTTCAAATTCGTTGCTGGAAGCCCAGATGGGACTTTTGTTTCAAGAGGGTCCTGATTTGAAAGATTTTACCTCTGGGGAACTTTCCGACAAAACCAAATGGGCAGAATACAAAGGCAATTTAAAGCGCCAAAAAGGAGAAAGGTATGAAGAAAGATTCACTCTCGTTTGTTGTAAATCACCTTAATGTTCGGTAAACATCGTGTTGTCTCGGTTTATATTTAAAAAAACAATAACAATAAGTTTCTCTAATTCTATGGTCCCCATAATAGCTTTGCTTGATGTTCTGTTCTTCCAAAAATGTTCTCTTTTGCCATCCTTGAATTAACGCAATTCTTATTATTTGGATAAATAACAGTTAAATATAGACATTTTTCTAACATTTCTGCAAATAATAACCATGTTATGTGCTCCTGGCTGCTTTCCTTTGTGACCAGAGGCACGCTCGCCTGACCAATAACCAGCCAAGACACAGTGAAGGCCTTTTGTTTCGTTCATTGCAATAAGCTTGGTTCTCTCCAAAGTTTTAACCCAAAATATCTCCTCCTTTTATTCATCCCTATCACCGGCCACTACATCCCTCCTCTTTCCCCATTGGCGGAGGTAGTATGAGGTTACACTCTTTCCAACCACCTATACACATTTCCTGATAACATATTAAATCATATTCACATGTACAATAAGAATAAGAAAAATTAGACATTTAAATTATTTTAAACTCAGTAGATATTTATGTCCCCATTTTAAACAAATTGCTTTTCAGTTCAGTGTGCCTTTCTTCTTATCTTATTCAGCTTATTTTCCTATTCTCCAATCTGTCTTTTCCTGGCTAGCCATTTCATATATATTTTTATGGCTTCTCTTCTTACTTTCTCAGACCCAGCTATTTTTGCCTATATGGTTTATCTTACTTCTTTTATGTTATCTCTTCCTGACTCTCACCGTTTGTATTTTATTCTTCTATTCAATTAATTTCCATTGTATTGTAGGTTTAACTGACTCTGAAGATTTATCATATTGATGCATATTTATCAACCACTTTGATATAAAGCTTCTTTTCTAACTGATCATCTTGATTGCCTTGTCATAGATCCGGTTTAAAATTCTTATTTAAATTTGTTTTCCCCACAATATTTAAAATATTCTTACTGGTTAAGATTTTCATTACAGTATTTCAGTCTTTTTCCTCAAGACAGGCCATCCCGACACTTTTACATTTCTCATATCTTAAAAAAATAATAAAAAAAGAAGTCCACAAGTCTTAAAGGGGCCGTCATTCCCCACCTCTGTTTTAGCAGAATGAACTAAAATCTTCCTTATTTGAATGATATCCTATCTGTTCATTGGTGCTTTGTTTACTTAATATAAAATGGAATCTCTCTAAAAGGCATGTCAGGTCATTCTCAGCTTTACAACATTTAGTGTCATTTAGCGACTGTTTGAAGTTACAACATCACTGAGGAAAAATGACTAGGACTGTTGCAGCACCCCCATGGTCATGTGATCACCATAGAGACACTTGGCAACTGAATAGAGTTGGAAGGGACCTTGGAGGTCTTCTAGTCCAGCCCCCTGCTCAAGCAGGAGAACCTACACCATCTCAGACAAGTGACTGTCCAGTCTCTTCTTAAAAATCTCCAGTGATGGAGCGCCTACGATTTCTGGAGGCCAGCTGTTCCACTGGTTAATTGTCCTCACTGTCAGGAAGTTTCTCCTTAATTCCAGGTTGCTTCTCTCCTTGATCAACTTCCAACTTGGCGAACTAAATCAAGCTTTTATTTTTAGGTTACGCCTTCCTCCCTGGTTGAAAACGGAGATCCCGATTGGAAAAAATTACAATAAACTGAAGAACACATTGCGCAGCTTAAACCTACATACGGTATGCTCTCTGAGCTGGGTGGTTTTCTTGCAGACGTTTCATTACCTGACTAGGTAACATCATCAGTGCCAGAGGGGAATGGAATTTGTGGAGAGGAGGAGGAGGAAGAGAAGGAGGAGGAGGAGGAAGAGGAGGAGGAGGAGGAGGAGGAGGAGGAGAAAAGGACTGTGGGGTCCTTGCTGCTCTCTGAGCTTGGTGGTTTTCTTGCAGACGTTTCATTACCCAACTAGGTAACATCATCAGTGCTAGAAGGGTAAAGTAGGATTTGCCAAGGGGAGAAGGAGCAGGGGAGGAGAAGAAAGAGGATTCTTTGCCCCTTGGTCTTCTCTGAGCTTGGTGGTTTTCATGGCCCAGCTAGAAAACCCAGACATAGGGGAGAGAAAGCTCATATAGCTGCGTGGGAGAAATACTGAGAACTAGAAGGTTAACTTTTCGGAAGAAACAATGCTCCTTAGCTCCTGCTAATCCTGCTGTCCTTAATGATAGGTGTGTGAGGAGGCCAGGTGTCCCAACATTGGGGAATGTTGGGGAGGAGGAGAATATGCAACTGCTACAGCCACCATCATGGTAAGTTCATCCTCGGGCTCTGAAGATCCATTCAGAACAGGACGTCCACTTGCTCCAGGTCTTGTCTAGTGTAGTACAGATGGTCCTCAGCGTACAACCAAATTGAGTCCAACATTTCTGTACAAAAATAATGGAGTGAGAAGGGACGCTGAAGGTCTTCTAGTCCAACCCCTTGCTCAGGCAGGGAACCCTGTACATTTCCTGCTTAATAAGCGACACAGAATAGAGTAGAGTAGAGTAGAGTAGAGTAGAGTAGAGTAGAATAGAATAGAATAGAAAGATAGGAATAGAAGAATAGGATAGAATAGGAATAGAAGATAGAAATAGAATAGAATAGAATAGAATAGAATAAGAAGATAGAAATAGAAGATAGAAATAGAAGAATAGAATAGAATAGAATAAGATAGGAATAGAAGAATAGAATAGAATGGAATACGAATAGAACATAGAAATAGAAGATAGAAATAGAATAGAGTAGAATAGAGAATATAATAGAACAGTGGTTCTCACCCTTCTATGCGCGACCCATAATACAAGTTCCCCATGTTGGTGACCCCCAACCACTTATACATCACCGGGCGCCAGGGGCGTGGCCAAGAAAAGGGGAAAAAATGTCGGACCTGAGTGTTTGTGACCCCGTGAATGAAATGGTTCGTCGACCCCAAATGGGGTACCGGACCACAGGTGGAGAACCACTGGAATAGAATAGATAGAATGTGGAATGGAATAAGAAACAGAATTAGGAACAGGACAGTCAACCAGAATAGAAATAGATAGAATAGATAGAATAGAATAGAATTAGAAATAGAATAGAATAGGAATAGCGCTAGAAGGGACCTTGTCCAGCCCCCTGCTCAAGCAGGAGAACCTATACCATCTCCGACGGGTGATTGTCCAATCTCTTCTTCAAAGCCGCCAGTGATGGAGCACCCACAACTTCTGGAGGCAAGCTGTTCCACCGGTTAATTGTCCTCACTGTCAGAAAGTTTCTCCTTAATTCCAGGTTGCTTCTCTCCTTGATCAGTTTCCAACCATTGTTTCTGGTCCTTCCCTCTGGTGCTTTGGAGACTAGGTTGACCCCCCCCCTCTTCTTTGTGGCAGCCCCTCAGATACAGTTCTTAAGCGAATTTTGCCTGTTCAGTGAATGTTGTCCATTTTACAGCTACAGTTGTTAAGCACCTTATCTTTGCTTCATTCCCATCGTTGAAGTCAGAGATCTAATATCTCTGCTCTTGATGCCATCTGGTGTGGACGTATTTTGTTGATTGCCGTTTGAGATGCAGATGACTCAGATCGTTTTTCGGAAGGAAAAAAACCAAAACCTCGCTCTCTTTTAAAAAAAAATTAGTTAATGGGGGACACCTGTACGAGAGGCTGTCGCTTCTGCTCCGTAAAGACGTCGAGAAGTCCTCCTCCGTTGGACCCCGAGGAGCCGACTAACACCGCCGAAGCAATTGCCGAATGGGGACTTGATTATGTTGTGTTGACCTCCGTGGACCGGGATGGTAAGTTGTATCCCTTGACCTGCGAGGAAACACAACAATATCATACTGGTAGTCCTTGACTTAGGACCCACAATGGAGCCCAAGATTTGTGTGGCCAAGTGAGACAATTGTTAAAGAGAATTTTTGTCCCATTTTACGACCTTTCTTGCCACTGTTATTAAGTGGGTCACTTGTGTTCTGTCCCATCCTACGAGAGTCCTTGTTGAGCTCACAAGGAGAAACCCCTCTTCCAACAAGCAGGCTGGAACCGCAGGAAAAAACCAATCCCCTTTTATTATTCACAGACCTGAGTCCATGTCCAAGGCAAACAAAATACAGTTCACGGAAACTCGATTCCTCAACACGAACGGCTGCCTTTGGCAACCAGCACTTCCCACACCTTCCCTTTTATTATGCAGCCAAGGCGTGGCTTCCTAATGCCTTCTCCTTTGCCTTTGGAGCTGCCCCATTGCATCCCTCTGTCCTACTCGCTTCTCTTGCCTGTGCATTCGTGCATCCTGGATATCTCCCAGCTGTTCTTCAGCACTGTCCAACTCTGGCTCCCAGCACAGCTGTGTCTCAGCCTGAGCGCGAGTAGAGGGGCCAGGCTCCTCATTCAACTGTAAGTCTTGGAGTTCCTCAGAGCCTTCCTCTGACTCTGATGTCACTCCAGGCCCCTCCTCCTCCTCTGATTCCTCAGACTCAGCTGCCGGGTGTGTTACTAACAGACTCAGACAGGCTGGTGAAGAATCACAACAGATTGCACAAATTACTCTTGTATGCCCAAATACCTCAGATCTGCCTAAAATCTGTACAGGCAGTCCTCAACTTACAACAGTTCATTCAGTGGCCGTTCAAAGTTAGGACGACAATGAAAAAAGTGACTGACGACCGTTTTTCACAGTTACGGCCTTTGAAGCATCCCCCCCGGTCACGTGATCAAGATTCAGACGCTCGGCCACCGGTTCATATTTAGGACGGTTGCTGTGTCCCAGGGGTTGTGTGTGATCCCCTTTTGCGACCTTCTAACAAGTGAAGTTCAAGGGGGGAAGCTTAACAACTGTGTTACTAACTTAGCAATGGCAGTGATTCACTTAAGAACTGAAGCAAAAAAGGTCGTAAAATGGGGCAAATCTCACTTAAGAAGTGTCTCCACGAACAACAGAAAATTTGGGGCTCCATCGCAGTCGTAAGTAGAGGACTCCCTGTATGTGTCCTGTGTGTGAAATAACTCGAGCATTAATCTTTGCAGATCTTCCTGATGGAGGAGCCGAACACTTCGCAAAGACTGTCTCACACTTAAAAAAAAGGTAAAGCAGAAAATTTAAGAGAAAATTTTTATAAAATGTTTTATAGATGGCATTTGGATCCCCAAAAGTTGTCCCACATGTATCCGAAATTACAGCCCAAATGTTGGAGATGTGGAAATTTAGATGCAACTTATTTTCATATTTGGTGGACTTGTAAAGATATTAAAGCTTTTTGGATTAAGATTTGGTGGAATATTCAAAAGATTTTTAAGAAAAAGCTAAAGTTTACTCCGCAATTATTTTTGTTGGGTATTATTGTAGATTTGGATGTTAAAGAAACTAATTTGATGTTGAACTTCATAACTGCTGCAAGATTATTGGTGGGGCAATATTGGAAGAAAAACTTATTGCCTACTTTGGAAGAATGGATACTTAAAATGTCTAATTTAGCAGAAATGGCGAAAATCTCCACCTATTTGAAGGATCATTCACAAGAAAGATATATTATGGTTTGGAGAAGATGGATTGATTATATTCAGAAGAAATATGAGATTGAAAAGTATTATCTTGCTTTTGAATAGATTTTAGATAATTATTAATAGTATTAATGGTATTATTATTTTTGTCTTAATTTGTTAATATTTGTTTTGGAAGGAGTTAAAGTGTATTATGGTTTTGATTGATAGTTTAGTTGGTTTATGTTAGCTAGAGTATGTTTATTTGTTACCATGTAATCAGCTCTGGGCAGTGGGGGAGGGAGGGAATGGGTGGGTTTATATTGTAATTTGTAAAACTTTTAATAACAAAAAAACAAAGGTAAAGGGGTAATTGTGGATACATTGGGTGCGAAACTTCGAGATTGCCCGAAGCAGCCTTCTTTGTGCCCGTGTGAACATCTTCGTCTTTTGCAGGAATCCCCAAATTCTCGTGGAATGCTTAACCCCTGACTTCCGAGGAGACCTCAAAGCGGTGGAGAAAGTGGTTTCATCTGGATTGGATGTCTACGCCCACAACGTGGAGACCGTTCCCGAATTGCAGAGGTGATGAAAGGTGATCTTTCAGCCGGGAAAATGCCCTCGTTCGCAGGGACAGTTTGGTGGCGCAAGAAAGCTGGAATTAAATTGAAAATGTTGCAAGAAGCCAAAGGAAATGGAGGTTTTGGCTTGCCAGAATGGGTTTTATATTATCAAGCGTCAGTGCTAAAAAACGGATAACTCTTAGAAATAAAAGATTGCTGTAGTTGGAGGGACAGGACCTGCAGCTTGGTTGGCATGCTTTTTTTATGGTATGGGGAAAAAAGTAAAATACATAAATACTTCCAAAACCACTGGATTAGTAATGCACTATTAAAATGGGGAAAAAATAAAACGTGAAATCTATTTGAAAATTCCAGGATGGCTCTCAACAGCGGAAGCATTCGTACATCCCAATCTAGTCAGTCTCGATAAAATAGGGACCTATAAAGATATTCTAAATTCTGAAGGGAACTTAAAATCCAGGCAAGAGATGGCAAATCAGGGCATCGATTTAACTGGTGGTCACATTCACAAAGGCAAGTGAGAGACGGCAAAGATATTAAACATGGATGGATTTTATAAAGAGCAGATTATGTTTGACCAGACATTATTAACTTTCGGAGGGACACTTTGGTGAGGCAACCTGGCCGTCGTAAAAGCAGAAGCTGGATCGGACCCCGTTGACCGACTTACTGTTGTAAGTCGAGGACTCTGTACACAAGGAAGCCATCAGCCTCCTGACAGATAGCTTTCATTGTCTGTCCTAAGAGCCATCGATTCCACGAATTCGTCCAACTTTTTGTTGAAGCCGACCAAGTTGGTAGCCACCTCTCCTGGTAACCAATCCCAGGGCGACTGGGGAATTCTGGGAGTTGAAGTCCACCCATCTGAACGTTCCCAGCTTGAGAAACACTATTCTCAAAAGTTTTTCTGTTTTAGAGCAGGGATAAAACTTAGCCAGCAGGGCAGCAAACCTAAGATCCATCCAGAAGTTTATCTGTGTCAGGCTAAAAAAAAAAAGGTTGATTCCTTTTTTTTCTTTCTTTCTTGCAGACAAGTTCGGGATCCCCGGGCCAATTTTGAGCAATCCCTTTGCGTTTTGAAGCACGCTAAGAAAGTTCAGCCTGATGTGATTTCCAAAACGTCAATCATGCTGGGCCTGGGGGAGACTGACGAACAGCTGCACGACACCCTGAAAAGTAAGTTGAGAGCAGACGGGATATGCTGGGTGGAGAAAAATCAACTTGGCCGTTCCAACTGTGCAATCAATACTCCGCCCGTTTATGTGTGTCGTGTTCGGGATTCGCATTACAAAAAAACAGGCTTAGATTTTTATTTTTTTTTTACATCTTTCCTCCGTTTCATTTTTCTATCCCTTTGCGTTTTTTTCTTTTTCTTTACTTCTTATATTTTCCTTAGTTTGTATTAGTCTACCTGTATCTTGCCCTAGGCCAGGGGTAGGCAACCTTGGCTCTTTTATAAGTGGTGGACTTCAACTCCCAGAATTCCTGAGCCAGCCATGCTGAGGAGAAATGGAGAAGTTTCTAAGCTGAGCCATGCAGGCTCAGGAATTCTGGGAGTTGAAGTCCACGAGTCAGAAAGCGGCCTAGGCCAGAGTAGGCAACCTTGGCCCCTTCATGACTCGTGGACTTCAACTCCCAGAATTCCTCAGCCAGCATGGGGGAACTATGGCCCCTTCATGATTAGTGGACCTCAACTCCCAGAATTCCTGAGCCAACATGGCTCAGCTTGGAAACCTCTCCCTGTCCCCTCAGCATGGCTGGCTCAGGAATTCTGGGAGTTGAAGTCCATGAGTCATAAAAGAGCCAAGGTTGACTACCCCTGGTATAGGTAGTCCTTGACTTACAAAAGTTTGTTTAGTGACCGTTACAAACAGCACTGAAAAAAGTGGCTTAGGACCATATTTCTCACTTAACGACCATTGCAGCATTTCCAAGGTCAGGTGATCAAAACGCTTGGCAACTGACCCGTTTTTATGACGGTTGTGGTGTCCTGGGAAGCAAAGAGAGTGGGGGAAGGCAGACTCACTTAAAGTCCGTGGGACTAAGTTAACATTGCAAGGATTCACTTAACGACGGTGGGGGAAAGGTCGTAGAATGGGGCAAAACTCGCTTTACAAATGTCTCATGTAACAGCAGAAATGCCGCTCTAAGTTATAGCTGTAAGTCAAGGGCTACTTGTATTTATAACCTTTAATAAAATTATTGTTAAAAAAAAAGATAGGGAAAAAATGCCAAATCCTGTTCTGTCATTTACTAAAAGTCTTTTTTTAAAAAACACAACAAAAAATAGGATTACGCGAAGCTGATGTGGATTGCTTGACCTTGGGACAGTATATGCAGCCAACAAAACGGCATTTAAAGGTATTATATATATATTTTTAGAACTAATTAGAAGACGTAAGGCTGTTCATTGCTTACGATACTCTAAAACCCGTTGGAAAATATCTGGACTAATATTAATTGAATTAATATTAATTGTATCCAGTTTTTGGCCACCACGATGTAAAAAAGAGATTGAGACTCTAGAAAGAGTAAGAGAAGAGCAACAAAGATGATTAGGGGACTGGAGGCTAAAACATAGAAAGAACGATTTCTGGAATTGGGGATGTCTAGTTTAATTAATAGAAGGACCAGAGGTGACATCACAGCAGTCTTCCAATATCTCAGGGGCTGCCCCAAAGAAGAGGGAGTCAGGCTATTCTCCAAAGTGCCTGAAGGCAGGACAAGAAGCAATGGATGGAAACCAATGAAGGAGAGAAGCAACCTAGAACTAAGGAGAAACTTCCTGACAGTGAGAACAATTAACCAGTGGAACAACCTGCCTCCAGAAGCAGTGAATGCTCCAACACTGGAAGTTTTTAAGAAGAGAATGGACAACCATTTGTCCGAAATGGTATAGGGTTTCCTGCCTGAGCAGGGGGTTGGATGATCTCCAAGGTCCCTTCCAACTAAGAAGAAATTTCCTCAGTTAGATGGGGTTTATTTTTGGGGTGGGGCTCATATTTCGAGCGTCCTGCAAAAATCATGCTAGGGCTTATTTTGGGGGGAAACAGGTATTGTAAATTCAGATTGTCATTAAATGAACTTTTGCAAGTCCAGGAACTATCCGTATCAAAGTGCTTTTGCAAAAACAATTAACAAAACGATCCCGCTTCAGATTACCCACAACTCATCTGCTTTTGTAAACATGGTCATTTTTTTTTTCACCCCCAGGTCGAAGAATATATTACTCCGGAGAAATTTAAATACTGGGAGGACGTTGGAAACAAACTTGGATTTCATTACACGGCTAGTGGGCCTCTCGTGCGGTCTTCTTACAAAGCAGGTAAGATCAAGTCTTCCCATTAGCAGGGGCGCCCAGTCCAGACCAAGGTGCAAAGTGCGACATATTCCTCAGTGATCATTAATTAAACGATTCCTAGTAAATAGTATTTGGATTTCAAGGGGGCCATTTGCCATTGTCTGTTTCTCAGGGCGTAGAGAATGTGACTGGCTGAAATCCAGCTGCCTTCCATGCTTGAGGCAGGACTAGAACTCAGATCTTCGGGTTTCTAACCTGATCTACCACAGCAAAGTAGCCTTATGTTTTATTTCTACATACTGGTTAAGCAGGTCTGATATTTCAGCTACATTCCATGTTAATTAGATCCTCTTGCAGACTTCAGATGTCCAGTGTGCAGCAGACAATTGCCAGGGTTAATTTAGATGTAAATTGCTATATCATTTGCAATATTTGTTGTTAACATGCAAGCTTGGTTACAAGGGCCCTTTAAAATCAGAATATGTTCTTGAATGACGGATATATTTGAGAAGCTTAAAAATAGATGTTACATTTTTGAAGCATCCTGCGCGGTGTAATGGCTAATTTCTGAGTTACCAGCGGGGGATCTGCCGTGGTTAGTATTTAGGTTTAAAAAACCAAACGATGGTAATTTTTTGAAATATCCTTTTTTTTTTTTTGACTATGCTGAAACTTGCAGAAGCGTCAAATAGCACAGAAGCGACAAATAGCACAGATGCTCTTGGAATTTTAGTTTTTTTTCCCCACAAAAAGCTCCATTTTCATGTTTAGAATCCCTCCCTTAGTTGATGTTTCTCTGTATTTTCCCGTAATAATGAGGAAAAAAAAAGTACAATTGAAGATTTTGCCGCTTGGTTTAAAACGTCTGCTTTTGTTTTGGGGCTGTGCAGGTGAATTTTTCTTGAAAAACCTAATCCATAAGAGGAAGAAGAAGGACATCTGATGCATCCAAGGCCCACAAGAAGAATTCCATTCCTTTCCTTGTCTTCTAGATGGCTACAGCACAGATAAACCCAATTAACCAACTTGGAAGGCTTTTGCTGCTTTGTAAAAAAAAAGAATACAAAATATTTTATTTGTTCCTGGACCCTGACATGTTCCCATATTGTACACACACAATAAAATGTCACTCATTATCCATTATGCGGTATTCAGACATATCAAGAAAAAGAAGTAGAGCGAGGCCTGTACATTAAGGAATCCAAAGATTGATATATGCATTTTTTCCCTAGCACATCGATAATCATTGTTTGCTCCATTAACCCCATCCCGCTGTTAACCGTCTTTTCAATCACAATCCTAGTATTGAGCAACTCAAGTCATGATCACCGTTGGTATGTAACACAATAAATGTCTTTTCTCGCTGGACATAAATAGGATTAAAAGCACCTGCGCTGCAAATGATATTCTTGATTAAACTGTTGGATTGGAGCTCAGACGCAATATTATCTTTTTTACCCGCCCATCCCAACTAACAAGATCACTTTATAAAAGGTACGAATGAGTCTCTGAATCAAAAATGAAATCGACGTGCTAATTTAGAGGCAGTTTGAGAAAAAACCATCGCTTGATCCAAGAACTTCCGTTTTGATTACAAGCAGAGCAAATGTGTTGAGAATTACACAACGGTCCCATTGCAGTGACGGCTATTCCAATTTTGTATTTATTCCCTGGAAAACGGAAACATCCTATGGGTCATTATTTTACGTGTCCTAGTTTACTGGAACAAGCTGCCAATAAATAAATAAAAAATCAGATCCCTGACTGTGTCTTGTAATAAGGATGAGGAAAGATGGTGGTAAGATTAATATCGAAGACTCTGAACAATAAGCAAACATTCCCAGACATTTTAAGGATATTCTGTGTCCCAGTTCAGGCAGCGTGCTTAAAACCATATTTTGCTTGCTTGGTGTTGACTCATGGTATTGTACAAACTTTACCAACTTTGATTTATTCAGTAAACCACGGTTGCACTAAGTCAGAACTTAATATAGTGTACTAAAATCAGATCAATTCCATAGATGGAGGGAATTATAAATTTCCAATTCTTTTTTTAGTCACAGTACGAAATGCGTGCTTTGCTTAGCTTCTAAGATGCGCTTCCATAGAAACTTGAAGTGATGGCCAACGTATCAGCAGCTGAAGAGAAAGCAAAATTAATAAATTTCCTACTTGGGCCCTTCTCTGGAATAAGCATTATTTTTATGCAAAGAACCGCAACCATCATTTCATTAATGCCTCGGTTTTACTCATGAAGAAAAAAAAATATCTTCGCCGGAGTCTCTCCTATCTGATAAAGTCTAATTTAAACTTCCAACACCAACAATGTTCCGTGGTATAAATAGATGACTATCCATTAAATAGGAAATCTCTTAACTTTCTTCTACTTTCAACTGCCAAGACATAAAACTAAGTTCGTGAATCTCGCAAAAACCTAATCTTGAAGTTCGAAGCCGATGGGGTCGTTCTGTTAAAAAAAATATTAAAAAACGACGGCTGGGTAGTTCACGCATCATTGGTAGAAGTTACAATATTGGAAAAATAGACGTTATAAAACAGAATCTGGTTGAAAATGTCCCATATACAATAGTGCTGTACGATAATGGTTCGTATAAAAATCCCTTTTCCCTATGCAAAAAAATACTAAACTTCCTTTAGCCAGAGCTGAATGCGGTTAAGTGGGAGATTATTTAAAATCTCCTATTGAAATAAAATCATCTGAAAATGCTTGACTGAGGCTCAAAGGTGCCTGTTACTTTCTCCTGTTTTCCTTCTTATTCCAACTTTTCTGTACCAACGACGCCTATACCCTCGGCTTCTTTAGAGGAGGGTCCTGCAGGCTGAATTTTGGGATGTCGCCGGACGAAGCGAAGGGAATCCTTTTGGCTGATATCTTCTTTCCGATTGTCTCGACCTGAAGCAAAAGGAAAACGACACGCAGTCAGCTGACAAAGCACATCCTAAGGCAGTGATGGCGAACCTTTTAGAGACCTAGTGCCCAAACTGCAACCCAAAACCCACTTATGCATCATTGAGTGCTGGGTGGGTGTGGCCCATTGGGTGGGCATGGCCCATTGGGTGGGCGTGGCTGCAGTGGTAACAGCAGACTGGATGGGACTAAAAACTTCAATCAATCAATCAATTCCAACTTTGCAAGATCTTTTTTTTCCCACGAGAAGTTGAAATTGATTGAACCTTTTTTTGGAGGGGGGGCACACGACAGCGGAGGCTTAAAGCAAAAAGGTTTTATAGAACTCAGCTGAAGGCCTAGGACTGGGGCGATGGCGCGCGTGCCCACAGAGAGGGCTCTGAGTGCCGCCTCTGGCACTCGTGTCATAGGTTCGCCACCACTGTCCTAAGGCTAAGCTGATCTTCCCATTTCTGAAAATAATAATAATAATGAAATCCTGTCCTTTTTTTCTAAGGCCACCCAGAACCGGGAAAGAACCGTTAACGGCTTTGCCCGAATGTTGGTGTCAACGCTGTAAACATGGGGATGTTCCCGTTCTGACAACTGATGAAAATTGCAGCTATTTTCTCTTTGCTTTTAACATGCTTTTTCTGGTATTTAGAAATTAGGTGTAGAAGGGAATGGATGGGATGAAAGCTCAAGTTCAGCTAGCCATAATAATAATACCGTATATTCCGGCGTATAAGACGACTTTTGAGAGCGTCGAAACAGCCTCCGAACTCGGGGATTGTCTTATACGCGGAGTCGTCTTATACGCCGGAAACAAGGTAGTTTCTGGCGTATAAGACGACTTCCTAGGCATGCGACTTGGCGCCGATCGTCTTATACGCCGGAAATAACAGTTTCCGGCGTATAAGACGACTTTCTAGGCATGCGACTCGTGTTGATCGTCTTATACACCAGAAATACCGGTAGTTTCCGGCGTATGACTTTCTAGGCATGCGATTCGGCGTCGATCGTCTTGCAACCCGGCGTTGAACTAGGGGGTCGTCTTATACGCCGGGTCGCCCTATACGCCGGAATATACGGTAACAGCTGCTTTGTGGGAACCCAAGGACGAGCTGATAACGTTTTGGGAGCTGGGGAGAAAGCCTGTGTTTTAGGCTAATTGGAGAATGTGATTTATGACAGCTGATTGGGAGTGGGAATTGCACTTTGTATCCCGGAGGAAAGGAATTTAGTTTTGGGGTTCAACTACGTAGTGCCAATACTTTGTTTCCTGAATAAAATGTCTTTTAAGGAAGAATTTTTTGCCTTGGAAGTTCTTTTGATGGGTTTCATCTATGGGAACCATGATAGTTGGCTTATGGTACTGTACGAAGCCAACCAACGTTGATTTATTCAGTAAACCACAGTTACAGTAAGTCAGAACTTCATGTGGCGTACTTAAAAATCAGATCAATTCCACATGTGGAGGGACTTATAAATTTCCAACTCTTGTTTTTAATCACGGTATGCGTGCTTTGCTTAGCTTCTAAAGTGGGCTTCTGTCGAAACCTCTGGAAGTGATGGTCAACGAATCAGCAACTGAAGAGAAAGCAGAATTAATCATTTCCTATTTGGGGCCTTCTCTGGAATAAGCTTGATTTTTATGCAAAGAACCTCAACCATCATTTTTCATTAATGCTTCGGCTTGACTCATGGAAACAGTATGGAAGAAGGCCGTACTTGGAACCCGATCACTTGCAGCTTATTATGAAGATCGTCAAGGACTCTCCGCCCATCGAAGATAAAAGCCGGCTTCAGCATTCTCTTGTGAATGCGCTCGTAATCCAGCTCCTGTAAATAATGACCAACGATGTTTCAATGATGGCAACGCGTTTTGTGTTGGATACCCTTATGCGGAGCCTTGCTGTATTTACCTTAAACATGTCCCACTCCGTGCAAATTACTAGGGCGTGGGCCTCGTCACAGGCTTCGTAAGGGTCCTTGCTAATGGTGACCAGTCGGGAGACTGAAATGGGAAGACAAAGAGGGAAAGGTTGGCATCCAACCCTAAGCATCCATTGGCCAAAGAGAATCCCATTTAAGCGTTGATTTCACTGGGAGAGGTTGAAGCCCTTGACAGAAAAACAGAACTGGAAGGGACTTTGGAGGTCTTCTAGTCCAGTGGTTCTCCACCTGTGGGTCGGGACCCCATTTGGGGTCGAACGACCATTTCACGGGGGTCGCCAAACAACGCAGTCCGCCATTTTTTTCTCCCTTTTCCTTAGCTGTGCTCCTCCCTTTTATTCTATTGGCTTTTGAAAGCCAATAGAACAGACTCTCTTGAATAGAGTCTAATTCTATTGGCTTTCCAAAGCCAATAGGAATTGTCCAGGCTGTCTCTGCCCTGCTGAGCCCGCCAAAAGTCCCCTTCTGCAAACGGTGCGGCACCAGTTGAGTAGTCCTCGACTTATGACCGGTTGGGGGTCGCGGCATTAAAAAGGTTGAGAACCACTGTTCTAGTCCAACTCCTCCCCCGCCCTGTACAGACATGCCAACTTGATCAGACTTGGAAACATTTTTAGAAAGCTAATCCCACTCACCTTGGTCATCCTCTGACACCCCTGGGTGAGAGAGGTCAAGAATGATTTGCTCCTTCAGCACTTTGGGATCATAGATGTGGAGTCTGGCACCTTCGTCCATTAAGTATTTGCTGATGTAGATACTGGACGATTCTCTAAAAACAAAACGTACAACGTCCTGAAATCGCTAGCTCTGTGGACCATCGTCTACGCTTGGACCCAGGACACCTGGGTTGAGAAGGCAGGTAATTGTTACCCTCAAAACAGATGGGTATTAGGATAAGCACCCGCTGGATGTGATGAGATTTACTTCTGGGCAAAGCAACGAGTGCTTGTGTACCCCGATATAAATTCCTTCTGAGAAAGAAAGAAAGAAAGAAAGAAAGAAAGAAAGAAAGAAAGAAAGAAAGAAAGAAAGAAAGAAAGAAAGAAAGAAAGAAAGAAAGAAAGAAAGAAAGGAAGAGAAAGAATCCACTTCAGGCAGAGAAATGGAGGAAACAGGATGTTTTAAAGAGGAAGGAAGGAGGGAGAAAGACAGGAAGGAAGGAAGGAAAGAAGGTAGATCCACCTCAAGCAGAGAAATGGAGGAAAGAGAATGTTTTAAAGAGGAAGGAGAAAGAAAGAAAGAAAGAAAGAAAGAAAGAAAGAAAGAAAGAAAGAAAGAAAAAGAAAGTTCAGAGAATTTGCAATTAAAACTCTATCCATTTTTATCTATCATCTATCCATCTATCTATCCATCCATCCATCCCTCCATGTATCTATCACCTGTCACATTTTTAATCTAATCTTAACACACTGGAACTGTAAATGTAGTTTTGCAAACAAGAAATCAAAGTGGAATTATTCGTAGTAAAACATAAAACGAAACCCCAGCAATAGAATCAGGATAGATAACTTCCTGCTCGCCCTGTAATCCCTTCTAAAGTTTAAAGGAATTAAAAAAAAAAAAAGAAAACCAAGCACCTTGCTTACTTCAATCTCAGGGGCAAAGAGAAGGTGCTTTGGATCAGGGGTTACTATTTAAGCAACAGATCTGAATGCTCCGCTAGCCTGAGGGCCATAAACAGAAGGCGAAAAGTGACTAGCACCAAGTTCGTGGAGGTGATAAACGCTGGTTTTACCTGGTATCTCCTGTGTCCTTTTTGAACGCAAATCCCAAAATCGCAATCTTCTTATCGGTGACGGTGTTGAAGAGGCTATCAATGATCCGGGAAGCAAATCTCCTTCTCTGATAGTCATTCATGTCAATCACCTGCAATCATGGGTTGAAAAAAAAGAAAGGGGAAGAAAGAGATACAGCAAATGTTCCAGTATCTCAGGGGCTACCCCAAAGAAGAGGGAGTCAAGCTATTCTCCAAAGCATCTGAAGGCAGGACAAGAAGCAACAGATGGAAATTCACATCAAGGAGAGAAGCAACCTGGAACTAAGGAGAAACTTCCTGACAGTCAGTACAGTTAACCAATGGAACAACCTGCCTCCAGAAGCGGTGAATGCTCCAATACTGGAACTGTAAATGTAAATGACTGGACAGCCATTTATCCGAAATGGTATAGGGTTTCCTGTCTGAGCAGGGGGTTGGATTAGATGACCTCCAAGGTCCCTTCCAACTTGTTATTTAAATAATAATAATAATAATAATAATAATAATAATAATAATAATAATTATCGATCATCGCACAGTCAGCCAGATGTTCAGACTGGATTTGGCATTTTGTCTACCTATCGAGTCCTTACCCAGGACCTGGGATAGGCAGATGTGGATGTTTGATGGTATTACAGATATCGTTGCAGGATGGAAGCAGTTCCTAGTAAGGCTGCCTTTTGCAATTGACTAATAGCGAATTTGTCACTGCCAATTGTGTTCAAGTGGTGCTCCAGTTGTTTTGGGATTGCACCCAAGGCGCCTAGGACTATTGGTACTACCCTTGCTTGCTTTTGCCACAGTCTTTCTATTTCTATTTGTAGGTCTTTGTATTTTGTTATCTTCTCCAGTTCTTTTTCTTCTATTCTGCTCTCTCCAGGCACTGCCACGTCCACTATCCAGACTTTTTTGTCTTTCTTATCGACAATTGTTAAGTCTGGGGTGTTATGTTGCAGGTGCTTGTCTGTTTGAATTCTGAAGTCGCAGAGCAGTTTAATTTTATCATTTTCTATGACTTTCTCTAT